ATATACTTAAGCTTTGCTTTAGTGGATATTACACTTGTTATTTCTTGATGAATGAGAATTATGTTTGGTTAAATAAGTTACACGTTCTGTTGTTTTGCATGTAGATAAGTAGGCCGTCATCGGGCATACCGAAGATCACTATATCAGTTACTTGCGAAACAAGAATCATTAGTTCACAACCTAGATGGAATTGAACAACCCATCGAAACGGTTGTAGTGTCAACCGTACAGTTTGTCTTGACCGATTAGTTGCACTAGTACATTTATGTATTGAACAGGATCCCAGAGAGGGATGTTCGTTTTATACTGATCGTCGTAAACGAACTAGGCCTCAGTTAATTATTGCGTGCTCTTAACCCGTAAGATATTAAATAGGCATGTGCACATAATTGTTGTTGCTTTGATTCTTTGGGTGAGATCCAAGCCGGGTCGACATACTTAATGAATTGGGTAATGACGTTATGTGTTCGATGTGCTATTAGGATATTTACGGTCACCATGTGCGTTAGTATGATGATGTCCCCGAAGTGAGTTCATGAAGGAATATTATGCTAAACCCTGTAGGTGGATTTATTCCGGCATAATATGAATGCTATGAGCGAGCGCTAGCTTCGGTAATATAATATATCAATTAATTCTTGATTATTAGTGATAGAATTAATTAATGGACATTATATCTTAAACATGGGGAGGTAAATCGGATAATTATAATAAGGAGTCCCAAATGTAATTTGGGATAGGTGAGGGGAGTGCAATAATATTATTGTGGTGGACTTTAATATTATTAATATATTAATTGTGGGGTTGCTCCATAGTATTAATATATTAGAAGCCCTTATCCTATTCTCCTTAGGGTCCCTACTGTAGCTTTATATATACAGCATTAGGCTCATGGAAGAAGAGAAGAATTCCACAATTTGGAAAAATCATCCGCCCTCTCTCTCTCTCTCTTCCTAGGAGTAGTTTTATTTCTTGTGCTCCACTGATACAAGATCTAGATAGCTGTTTGAGAATACAGTAGAAGATCTTAAGGTATATACGGGATTCCAATCAGATCTATCATACATCCAAACCGGAGACCAAAACCAGCAAGTGACCATACCACGACGACCAGGACGACGAGACGAAGAGACCGCCGCCAGCCGCCGCCGCACGCGCCGCCATGTGCCACCGGAAGGGAGCAGCCGCTGGAACTCAATCGCGCGCGTGAGAGCGCGTGGAAGCTTCGTTTTTCGACCGATCAATGCCGTTGACTTCGCTGTGACGTCAACTTTCTGGATTGGTCAAGTTTGTTCGATTCCGAGAAGATTTGATTTGCGGTCAACTGTTCGGGCCAGCCAGATCTACATAAATTTTAAGCAGTAAGTTTTGTACATCAAACCTTTAGATCCGCTGCGCATAGGTTTATGTTGAATGTTTGTCCGTGATTTGTGCATATCGATATCCTCATATGTCCCAACACCGTCGACGTGCATTATCCATTTCTTGTTTGATCCCTTAGTCCCTTCTTGGATAAAGTCGGCTAGAGCTTGGGCTTTTATAGCTCGTCGAGGTTCGTACTTGATGAAAAATTCGCTAAGTTCAACTGCCCATTTTACGAGTCGACCCGACACAGTAGGTCGACCCAGGGTCTCTCCGAGCTGAAAATTCGTCCTTACTATTATCACATGGTTCAGGAAGTATGGCCTCAATTTTCTGGCTGTGAGTACTAATGTTAATGCGGCCTTCTCGACTTCGGAATATCTCGCCTCTGCGCCTTGAAGTACTCGACTTGTATAGTAGATCGGTTGTTGGGCCCCTCCAGCTTCTCGCAGTAATACAAAACTTAGAGAAAATATTCCTACTGAGATATAGAGCACTAACTCGTCGCCCGGTTCTGGCTTTGTTAACAACGGTAGTTCGCTCAAAAACTCTTTAAACTTTTCAAACGCCATTTGAGCCTCGTCATTCCACTGAAAAGCTTTTTTCTTAAGTAACTTGAAGAATGAGAAACTCCTTTCCGCAGCTCGAGCTATGAATCAACTTAGACCTGCAATTCGACCTGTCAGGACTTGCACTTCTCTAACATTCTTTGGCGGGGCCATGTCGAGTATGGCTTGCACTTTGTCCTTATTCACTTCGATGCCTCTTTCCGTCACGACGTAGCCCAGGAATCGCCCTGCCCTCACTCCAAAGGCACATTTACTTGGGTTTAGCTTCATTCCAAATGTTCTTAGCATCATAAATGTTTCACTCAAGTCCTCCACATGCGAGATCGAGGACCTAATTTTCACCAAGATATCATCCACGTAAACTTCCATATTTCGCCCGATCTGCGATTTGAAAATTCGATCCATCAACCTCTGGTATGTTGCCCCTGCGTTTTTAAGCCCGAACGGCATGACGACATAACAATATATCCCCTTGCTCGTCACGAAACTAACTTTTCTTTGATCTTCAGGAGCCAACGAAATTTGGTGATATCCTTGGGACGCGTCCATCATACTTAGCAATTGACAGCCAGCTGTGGAGTTGACCAGCTGGTCGATTCTCGGCAGGGGGTAGTGGTCTTTTGGGCAAGCTAAATTTAAATCGCGAAAATCAATACACATACGCCACTTATTTAGCGCTTTCCTCACCATCACTGTGTTTGATATCCATTCTGGGAATTGAATTTCTTTGACATGTTTGGCCTTCAGCAACTTATCCACCTCGACCTCAATTGCTTTGTCGATCTCTGCCCCGTGATGTCGAAGCCGCTGCTTCACGGGCTTTTTCAGGGGGTCGACATTAAGTTTATGTTCCATGACATCGGGATCGATTCCCGTTAACTCCTC